GCTGTGACGTATGCGGCCGACAAATTCAACCTTCGGAGGACCCGTCCTGTTGTTTTGGACACAGCCATTGTCCAAGATTAACCTTCAGGGTGGATATAGCTCGCTAGCAGCCTCGCACCGAGGACCTATCCACGTCATCATTTACCCAGAATGCTTTGTGTGCAAATAAAATGGCCCCGTCCGTGTAATACATTTTTGAACTTTTAGTCTAAAAATTATAAAAACTAAACATCCTACAGTATTTTTACAGTCTTTATTTTACAGTTAAAATAAATGTTTATTAAATAAAGTCTAATGTTACAACTAATCAGGGATCCCTTTAATAACATCTGAAGGTGACAGAGTTACTTTCTTATGGTATAGAATTTAAATAAATGCCCCTTTAAAATGCAGCAAAATGAGCTTTAACTGGTCAGTAAATAATCATTTTATTTTGTGTCACAGTGCTCTTCTGATGTTTAATAAATAACACACTGTAATGTTTTCATGTTGTTGTTTTTCTCTTTGATAAGCAGTAATGTAAGTGAGCGATGACTGTGTGTTTGTGGTGCAGTGCTGAAGCCTCTGGTGGAGGTGCTCAGCGACCCCGACTCCATCAACAGGATGCTGCTGTCTCAGCTGGAGCAGAGGGAGCAGCAGGCTGAGCAGCAGAAGAAAGCCTACACCTACGCTGCCTCTTATGAAGACTTCATCAAACTGATATCAACTTCTACTGATGTCAATTTCCTCACACAACTCAGGCATGGCAGCAACACACACACACACACACACACCCTCATGGCCTCATTAATGTGAGAACAGCCTGTACCTGCACAGACTTAACTCAGACACACCATGCTGTGTGTAGAAAGTCATCAGACGTGTTAACACTAAGATGTGTGTAGCTGTTTCAGTGTTCCCATGGGAACTGAGTGTGTCTGCAGAACAATGGGGGAGATRTCCTACTGTTACACTGCCTCATTAGTCTAAGTTAATATCCTTATCATTCTGAAAACATGTAGATTACAGCCGTGAAAGAATTTGGACACCCTATGAAAGTCTGTATGTTTTTAACATATTTGAAMGTGGATATTTAATTTCTCTTTAAAATACTGAGGGATCCAAGTAATATGACTAAACATTTACAAACTGTCTGTAAAATGTTATTTAAAAAGAATGCAGTTTCTGCTGAGGAATAAATTAGGACACCTACACTCACCGGCCACTTTATTAGGTACACCTGTCCAACTGCTCGTTAACACTT